CACGCTCCCGGCTCCCACCTACAGCCTTGGCTGTTCTCTTCCTGCCCCTGCAGGCTGCGCCAGCCTTTCTGCTGTTGATGCATCTGCCACTTATTGAGCACCTACTGTGTGCTAGACATTGCCAGGACCCATGATATTCAGATGAGAAAACTAGGGGTTGTTCAGGGTTGTAGGTGGTGTGGAGCGCCCTGGGCCTGGGCTTTCCCAGCCCCTACCTGCACCCATGCTTGGGCCACCTCTGAGGGTGCCCAGTCATTCCACAGCAGGAGCCTATGTCAGCGGGACTCTTCTGTCCCCACCTAGCCTCTGCCCACACAGCTGCAGATAGCCACTTCCACCCTCCACACCAGTCTCCATGGGCGGCTAGAGTGGACTTCAATATGCACCCTCTCTGTGGCTCCCTGGCCCTCCTTGACCCTCAGTCCCACCCAAGACACATTCCTGCTGGCTTGCCCTGCTGCTTGCAGTGTCCATAAGGGCCACTGTTCTGTGACCTGACTTGACTCAGTTGCACCATTAGCACTGATCCCCAGTACTTCCCACTTTGTTCCATAAGCCAGTTTGGGCGTCTCCTGGTGCTGCTGAGTGACTCATGCAGTGACCCTGGGCAGTCAGGCCCTCGTGGGCTGTAGTTCCCCCCATACTGAGGGGCCAGCAGAGGGGAGAGTCCCTGGGGCCTGTCTGGGAACAAGAGCCCACTGTGTGCCTGGGGGAGGCAGCACATTAAGCCACTGTGGGCCGGCAGTGTCTGCTGCTTGGCCTGGACTTCATCTGGCCTCGGCCTGCTCCTCCCCCATGCTTTGTGAATCCCACTCACTTGAGGCCCAGATGCGGAACTGGGCGCATGGCAGAACACAGCACCAAGGACAGGATGGGTGTCTTCTCCCTGCTTGCCGGACCTAGAGCCATTTGGGTTCTCTTGTACCTTGGGTTCTCTGCTGCCTCTCGCCCAGGAGACTGGATAATCAGGCAGGGGTTGGGGCCTCTATGCTCTGCTTTGTCCTGGGGCCGGCTGTGGGCTGGCTGAGTTGCGCTGTGTGTGCTCACACAGCAACCCTCTCCCCGCTCAGCTTGTGCTGTCCCCAGTCCTGCTTCTCATGCCAGTCAGCTTGTCCTTCCCGACCCCTCTAAGGGGTCATCTGAAGGAGGCCGTCATGCCCCGGATCCTGGTGACAGGCCCCTGCTGGCTTGAGCTTTGCAGGGCCCAGTGTTTACCCAGCAGTGGTTCTGGAGCCAGACTCTTTTGGGCACCGTGGGCCAGCAGTGGCAGGACAGAGGACCGTATGTATGTGAATGAGTTCCCACGTAGCCTTTGCCTTGCTGAATGGAGTGGGGCAGCCAGGCCAGGGAGTGTCCGGTGGGGGTGGGGCCGCAGAGGGAGAGCCCCCTCATCCACACTGAGGTTGGAGGTCCTGGAACACACCCAAGATTGGGCAGAATATATGCACAGGGGCCTTGAAGTAGGAGGGAGCCAGAACTTAAGACGGGCTGTGGGGGCAGTGGGTGGGGGGCATCTGTGGAGCATCATGAGTGTGTGTGAATCAGTTGGCAAAGGTTATTGAAGGGCGTGGTGGGGCACGCCTGTAATCCCAGCACTTGGAAGGCTGAGGGAGGAGGATAGCTGAGAGTTCAAGGCCAGCCTGGTCTACACAGTGAGTTCAAGGCTAGCTTCAACTACATGGCAAAACCCTGTCTCAAAAAAAAAAAAAACAAAAAACACTTGCCCTGCTGAGAAGGCACCAGCTGGATGCCACCTAGATGTGCTGGGCATGGTGGGGCAAGTTCCCAGAGAGGCCAGCTCCTGACACCCTGTAGATTCCCCCATCCTCAGCCCCAGCCCCGCCCCGGTCTCCACTCTTAGCTGTGTTCTCCTCTGGGCCCCACATAAAGCCTCACTGGCAGCATGGGGTTTTCCTGGAGACAAGATCAACTAGCAAAGGCGTGTGGCTGTTGGGTGGCAGGGCCAGTGTGGCCCCTCAGAATGAACTGAAGGCAAGCTAGCTTTCCCTGCCTGAAATACTGGGGTGTCTCTATCTTGGCTGGTGCCTAGCTCCTTACTTTCTAGACCCCATGGACTCAACATGGCCTCAGGGAGCAGACCACTTAGGTTCCTACCTGTAGGTTCAGCCTGCCTGGCTGAAAGGACGCAATCACAGCTCTACTGCAACTGAGAGCCCCGCACCCCGAGCCCGTCCCGCCTTCCCAACATGCCTGACTGATACTGTCTCAGATTGTGACGTTAGTGTCTGAGATTCAGAGGTGGCCCCTAAGCCATTCTCTCACCAGCAGGGTGACCTTTCTACAACCCATTGGATCGATCTATGAAAAGAGGGCTGGGGGAAGATATAGAAGATGGCTCCACTCGGATGGTGACCGGGGACTGAGTGACACATGGCCCCCATTTCTGGAGAAAGCTTGCCTTGTCTGCTTTGCAGTAGGATGTGTTCATGTCAGCCACTGTCTCTCCCTGATACTGGAGCTCAGAACGGGCAGAGGCCCCAGCGGTGTGGAGACAAAGGCTGCTCTCATCACGTGACACTGACATGAGGCCAGATGAGGGCAGGGCAGAGGAACTTGGCCTTTAGAAAGACCCCTGAGCAGCAGGTTTGGGCAGCATCTCCACCTGCCACGTGGGACCCAAAGCTTGGAGAACTGGTTGGAATGTGAGGGTGAGAGCCAGGAGTCAGTACCCTGAAGGACTCCCTCTTACCGTCTCTTCTGTTTCTGGTTAGGGGTAGTATAGGGCAGAAGTTGCTGTGAGCGTTGCTCTAGGACTGCCCCTCGTTGTTATAAAACCATTAAGAGCTGTGGATATCAGCAGCATAGGCCTTTTCTTGATCAGTATAAAGCCCATAGAAGCCATATGCACTATTTTGGGTGTTCCCTGGTCGGTATAGAAGCTCTGAGCAGCGTCCTGGGCCTGTCCCTAGGTGTATGCTCTGACTATTTGACCTTGAGGAAGGCAAGCCTCTGTTCTCTAGGCCTTAGTCTCCCTATTTATACAGTGTGGGTGGGTTGTCTCTGTCCCCTCCAAGCTGCTGAGAGGGAAACTCCTCAGTGAGGCCATTTCTTTCTTTTTTTGTGGGGGAGTACCAGGAATTGAGCTCAGAACCTCACACTTGCCAGGCAGGCTCTGTGCCACTGAACTAAACCCCCGACCCCAGTGAGGCCATTTCTGAAGGCATGGGGTGGGGGTAGGGGGTTGTCTTGACACGCTGCTGCCCAGACCCCATTGGATGTGCACTTTTTGAGGCGGTTGAGGCATTTTGGATTTTCTCCCCTCCAAGTATTACTTGAGGAAGCCCCACTCTCATCTGTGTTCCTGTTGTGCTCAAGGAACCTTCTTGGCTGTCCACCTTCTAGATCCTGTGGTCCGTGGGGAAAAGGTGTGCAGGTCTGCAGTGGCTGTCATTTGTAAGGGGGGAAAAGAGTCCCAAGGAGGCCAGGTCTTGCCTCAGATTCATGGCAAGGCAGTGATGGCCCACTCTGAATCCTGGGCACTCTACCCTGGATCCTCTCTAGTGCCAGCCTGGCAGATTTGTTATTTCAGATGCTCAGGATGCTGCGAGGTATGCAGCTCACCTGCCACAGTGCCCAGCTCCTCACTGCCCTTTCTAGGCATGTGATGCCACCTGGTGGCCATCATGGTTTGCGTTCCCATATGGTCTTCCTTTGTCTAAAGGAGTCTACTGTTCCCATTTGCTGCTCTGCCATACTGGAGAGCCATGTCTTTCCTTGAAAGTGGCAACTCCTGCGTGCAAAGGACTGGCCATGCACCCTGTATAGGCTGTTGTATTTTTAGTGGGCCTCTGCCTGTGGAGCGGAAGTCGTGGTTAGGACAGTGAAATCTGTGTCAGATATGCTGGAGTCTGCGCTCATGCAGACCTTGCATTGCTGGCCCTATGTGTGCATGCCCCACAGTCCAGCTGTGCTCCGTTCCCACCACCTTCAAGCCTTTGTTTGCTGTCATGTCACAGGGAGGCTTTACCACCCCTGCCAAGCAGCTGTAATTTGCTGTTATTTTTCCTATCATACTTAGCTTTTTTTTTTTTTTTTTTTTTTCGGATACAGGGTCTTTCTGTAGTTCAGGAGGGCCTTGAACTCACTATGTAGCCCAGGCTGGCCTCAAACTCAAGGCAATCCTTCTGCCTCAGCCTCTTGAGTGCTGGGATTACAGGGATGCGCC